CATAGGAAAAATCTGGCCGCCTGCTAGAACTTAGTGAGCCGTAGCTGTTATCGGGGTCCCGAATACGAGTTCGATGTTAGTCTTGAACAAAGATGATGACTCCATGCATTTTGGGTAGATCGTGTCGGGTCAGGTCAGGTCGACCAGCAGGCTTCCTGCCGGCCATCTAGAGTGGGTGACTGACAACCACCAACGATAGCTTCGTAACATGTTACCTAACCATCATTTATCAAAACTACTTCAAACGGTTCAAACGGGCGCTAAACTCGAAATCAGCCCCAAAAACCACACTTGTATGTGGATGCAAATAAAACTCAAAAAAGTTGACCAAGGTCATCCATATTCGAATCAGGGCCAATTTTTTAGAATAGGTGTAAAATTCATTAACCCGAGGTCACTGGAAGTTTCGTTGCAATATACTCCTTTTTGCGCGTCTTATTAGGAAAGCCCCAGAGGGATCCACCATCTGACCCCTCTTCCCCTATGCAGGCAGGTCCGAGGGTAGCAGGGCTGAGGCTAGCCAGGTACCTCGTAGTTACTGATACGTCATCCGACGAATCGACTGCAACCATTATTTTGACAATCAGACGAACGCTTGGATCAGTTTTGACGCGCTCGCTCATTTGAGGGATAAAAAGGGACTAAAATCACATTGTCATGCTGATGTTCTAACCCACAGCTTATTGACCTATAAGCAATAGGGACTAGGGAGCTCTTGAAGCGATTCTGAATCTGACGTTGTATTTGTTGATGTTGCTGACGCCAGCTTCCCTGACATGATAGCTAAAAAAAGCATACTCAGCATCGCCAAAAGTGGGGGGGGGGGTCGACCCCCCCGGTTCTGACGAGTGGGGGGGTCGCGACCCCCCCGACCCCCCCTTCGGCGACGCCCCTGCAGACTGGTTCCTGTGCCAGAAGACCACAGAATAGCTTATGAAAAACAACATTGCCAGCAGATGACAAAAAAAAACTGGTTGAAAAGCTACCTTTTCCCAGGAATGTCAGCCAGGAAAGCATTTGAGCCACAAGATGGTTAGAAAACTGGAAACTTCTTCCGATGCCGCTGGCACAGAGCCATCGTGGTTGTCTGAGGGAATGTGTCATCCTGAGACCCGAACCATCAATGAGACTAGCTGCCAGTAGAAGTCATGGCTCTGGGCCGCGGTGCCGCATGGTGAAAGTGACCCGTTCGCTCACATTTTTTAGTAAACATCGGAGCAAAAAAGTAATTTTTACATGGCATGCTTGAAACACGAACCGTTTGAAAAGTTATTTACCGAACACCATGAAAATCACACCATTTACTGAAAATGTGTGCCGCATTGACCATTTGAAGTTTCAATGTTGTATCTTTATCACTTTCTGAGAAATATTGATTTAAAGTTGGGAACGTTTTTTTCTGGGCCACCCGGTATATTAACCCGCGCACCGACGGGGGGGGGGGGGCGGATATCCACCCTCCCTGAGGTTTTTCGCGGATAGCGGGAAAAACCGCGGCGCATAGCGCCGCGAAATTTGGTACGACTATTCTCTGATCAATTTTACACATGGTGTGCAAGTTTGAACCTCCTAACTTTTAAGGTCAGGTCACCAGGTCACTTTGAATGACCCAACCTCAAGTCACTTTTTTGCAACTTTGTCACCGTGCCAGAGCTACAGTAGATGTCGGAGGCCTTTGAAAGTCGCAGGATGTTATTAGGTCATTAGTAGCTACAATTTGTATATCTCGGAATTTTGATGTCGGTGACCTAAGGTCAGGTCAATTTCGCGACCTCCCCATTATAAGTCAATGGGGGAAAAATCAACTCCCTGTTTTTACCACTAAAACGGGTCGGAATGGCCCCATATACCATACATGACTTCATATACGATCAACCTTCAATACCTTGAGGTCTGTTTTGCTGTTGGGCAGCTGTAAAGTCATGTGACGTCATCAAAGGTCACCAAAGGTTTTTTGCCAATAACTCGGTACAGGAACAAGCTACAGCCGCGTGGATGGTCTCATTGTGTTCAGCTCGTCAAGACGCATCGAATGATATACATGATGACCTCGAGGTCACGTGACCTGAGGTCAACCTTTGGCCTTGACCTTTCGAGGTCAACATATACATCATTCGATGCGGATTGACGAGAGGATCACGATGCTGCCCTTGGTTTGTTCCTATCTTGATTAATTCGAAAGTTATTCGAGAAAAACTCTCTCCATATCTAGCGCCGCCATTTTGACTTTTTCGATCCCTGTGACGTCATCTTTGACCTGACCTGAAAATGGCCTTGGTAAAGATTGTAGACCTTGTCCGTGCGTATCCGATGCCGTTTACCGCTTGTCGCTATCTTGCTTCGTTCTCGAGATCTCAGGGGGGGGGGCGGTCATCTGCCCCCCCCGTCGGTACGAAGTTGGCGCAGACCCCCGTCTGTGCGCGGGTTAATATATATTAAACAGCGAGTAGGTAGAACAAATCTTTAACGAGACGTTTAAAAGATTTTTCTACCTACGAGCGGTTTAATAATTTTATCCCGTTCCGCCGATATCTTTCGGGCGCTTAACGGCAAAAAATACATTTTATATAAAATATGATATATTTCAGACTAGACGAAATAGCCGTTTTCATGACGGGCTATCCGGCGAATGCACCTGAATTGACCAAATCTGCACCTAATTTCTTTTACAGCAAATATCTTCATTTTATGAATGTATTTCAGTGTTTTGATCGATGATGCTCTCTGATAATATGACAAAGCAGGCATATAAGCAATTAGTGCAACCCTAGCTGATAGCTGCTAAGAGACACACTGAACCTGATTTGACCAAATCTGCACCTAATCTGTACCAGATGTGTACCAAATGTGTACCAGATGGACGTCGTGAAAACGGCTTATGTCTACCAGACGTTTAACAGTTTGGTAATCGTCTAGACCTTGGTCTAGACGTTTAACAAATCAGACGACATCTGATAATTTTCTCTCTTTGCGCGTGAAGCAATGGTAAACACTGTCTACGGTGCGGGACAATATATTTTAATCGCTCTAGCATGTCTTTATTAGAAATTGCCTATTAGCGGAAAATGCCCGGTACATTAGTGACTGAAGATGGCCTCACGGACATAGCAAGGGGTCACGGGTGTCATTATCCGGTTTAGTATGTCACTTTGACTTGTAGTTCGGTATTTGAGAGTGTTTAGAATGACGTCCTTCCAAAAGAAGCTTCTTTCAATTTTCTCCCATTGACTTATAATGGCGAATGGAGAAGTCGCAACACTGGCCTGACCTTAGGTCACCGACATCGAATTTCTGAAACATACCTATAATTTGCGCATAATGCTGCTCTCGTCAATTGATGAAAGTTTTAAAGTGATCCGTCCCTGTGTGTAGATATGGTAGGCATTATAACCTTTCTATGAATGAGGTGAGGTCACTATGCAGTTTTCACAGCATGTGTGAAAAAGATCCATGATAAATTGTGACAAAAACGGTGACGCTCCGCACCTCGTTTTTTATAGAAATTTGCGAAAGACTTGGGTGGGGGGTTCTCTGTTCAAACAAAACCCTCAGCCGGGTGCGGGTTAAACCCATTTTTTTCAAACAATGGAAGCAATCGTTTTAAAACTGCCAACTACCTATATCATCTTTGCATTATTTTCGTGTAAAAAGCAGTAATTTAATAGAAGTACGTGCTTGCAACCGCGAAGGCACATAGGTTCTTTACCCAAATAAATCGATGGAGGCGACAACGCATCGAATACCTGATGGTAAGCAAGAGTATATACTACATGCATCGTTTAGCTTGGACACCACAGAAGAACTAAATCAAAATAAAATAAAAGGTATCTTTTAACCCGCGCCCTGCTGGGGGGTGTTTGAACACCCCCCTTGTGGTTTTTCGCGAATATCTCAAAAACGGCGGCGCTCCGCGCCGCCGTTTTTGGTACACCTTATCATACATAAATTCTACACATGTTGTGAAAATTTCAGACCAAGGTCATTCAAGGTCAGGTCACCAGGTCACTTGAAGTGACCTCACCTCATAAAAAGTTTCAATGTCTGTCATAGCTACACCGAGGGACCGATCGCTTTGAAACTTTCAGCGATTGCTAAGAGCAATAGCACGTACAAAATTTATATCTCAGAATTTTGATATCGATGACCTAAGGTCAGGTCAATTTTGCGACCTCCCCATTGTCAATGGGAGAAAATTGAAATGCGCCTCTTTTGCACGAAAGACATTATAAACACTCCCAAACACTTAATTACAAGTGGTTTAGACACACTGAACATGAAAATGGTGTCCGTGACCCCTGTTTATGCCCTGAGGTCATCTTAGGTCACGAATGGTATCTAACAGTTTTTCGCAAATAACTTTTGATAGAGGCATGCTAGAGCGATGAAAACGCATTAGATGTGTTCAGCTCGACGATACGGATCGACTGATATGCAAAATGACCCTTTCAGGCCAGGTCATGACCTTGACCTGAGGTCAAATTTTCAAGTTGACCTTTCAAGGTCAAGTTATAGTTCATTCGATGCGTCTTGACGAGAGAAACACGATGTCGGTATAAGTAACCTCGTGCAAGGCTTGGGTCAAAAGTTATTGCATAAAAACTGTTTCCGAAAAAAAATCGGCTATTTTTGCAGTTTTTGCCCCCTGCAGGCAAAACCGTTGACGTTAGGTCAAATCTGAGAGAATTACTCAGAAAGGGCGGTAATAGGGCTATCGAATGCGCTTTTCTGCGGCGCTGTAGCTCTATTGGTTCCCGAGTTATGCGTTGGCATCTTGGAAATTGTCGACATTTGACCTGGAAATCGGCGAAATTTTGCCTTCAATGACCTCTGGTGACCTGACCTTTGATCTGACCAAACAAATTGACCGAAGTGATTTCGTCATTATTTTTGGCGCTCTTTCGAACGCCGCCTTCCGTGTTCAGACACCCCCCCCCCCTTAGCAGGGCGTGGAAATCCAGGACCCCCAGCCGGGCGCGGGTTAAGCAAGCTTCCTTTCACAGACTCGCAGGCGCATGTATGTGGAGCCAGCAGACAAGGAGCGAATGGCACATACCAATCGAAACTAAATCCCAGGCGGCGACTGTCAATGGAGGTGGCGGCGACCGTCCAGAGGTGGACACTCGTCCTGCTGCTGCTGGTGTTACTGGCGGTGCTCTTAGTCAGCGCCGAGCTGCCAACTGACGGAGAATTGTCGGTGTGCAGCACGCCCTGCTGCACGGTGGAGCCCAGCTGCTCCGTCGCCCTGCACGTCGCCTGCAGCTGCAATGACGAGGAACGGGTAAGCCATGCGACTTATTTTGTTAGCTTAATGGCCTGCCTCACCAAATATACTTTATATTCGAAATGCTCGTTTGAGTATTTATTGAGTGTATGTAGTACGGTAATTGTTTACTGTTTTATTCTAAATATGCGAACATTTTTCCTTTCAGATCGTTCTCAGGAAAGCGGACATACCTCCAACGGTGAAAACAATTCACATTTCCAACGCCGAAAGAGTAACCATCTATAATGACGCCCTCACCAGTCTGCCGCTCCTCACTGACTTCAGCCTCCACGGTATCGTCAATGTAACCATAGAAAACGGAGGAATGAATATGCAGAGCAGCTGCAACCTATCCATGGTGCGCATGGAAGACATTGAAAACGTCCGAGTAAAAAGCTGGGCGGTCACTGGAGCCTGGGACCGAGAACTAAACTTTGAGCTGGCCAAAATAAACCAACTTCAAATTGAGACAGACGCCTTTCACTACGACTCAGAAACACCGGGCCTCAAATTGATGCTGCAGGACATCAATATGCTGGTCCTGGATTCGAAGGCATTCTCAGCGCCCATTGCCGAAATGGCGCTGAATAATGTTCGCATGGAAGAGTGCCATGACCAGAGCTTTGGAGGCCGGACTGCCAACACAATGTTCAACAACGTATCCATCGCTAATGCCCAAACTAGATGTGTCTTCGGGTCTGATAGCCGGGCCACGCTGTCCGTACACTCCAGCAGGATCGATGTTCTAAGCAGCGAGGCGTTCTCTGGACAGCTGAGGAAGCTGTACATCAGCAGCAGCGACTTCTTGACAATGCAAGACATTGGCGTGAATCTGCAACTTGTAGAACTAGAAGTCACTAATCTGTTTGTCCAGCGACTGAATTCTAAAGCACTGTCAGTTGTGGCCGACGATTCTATTCGCATCCATAAAATGCACGTGGAGTCGCTAAAAAAGAACGCTCTCGCAGGTCTGCTTGTCAAGCCAACACCGTCAGGCTTCTGTCCCCCCGTGAATATCCACCAGATGGAGGTCACCGAGGCCGAGCTGGGCTCGCTGACTTTCTCTGAGTGTGCCGATCTGGCCGTCACAGACCTGATCGTGCACTCGATGCCGACAGGTCTCTGTCCCACGGAGAGCCTGACACGCGCGCTGTGCGCCGGTCCCGACAGCGGGCCGCTCAGTCTGACACAGGAGGCGGTCTTCTGGCAGCTGTACGAGCGCAGTCTCTGTGACCAGGACGACCGCCTGCCCTTTCCAGAGCTGGCCGACAGACACCGCTGCGACCCCGGGCTCATCTACAGCTCTCCGGCTGGCGAGACAACGGTCCCGGTGCCGTCAGAAAAGGTCACCGCTCGGGCCGTGGTTCCCGGAATCGCGAGAGATCAAGCTCCTGTGGAAGGAAAAGGCGCTCTTTTTCCATCCGGGGCATCGTTTCCGTCGAAATCGACTCCCGTTGGGGGCGGCGGCGAGACGGACCAGCAGCATTCCCCGGTGCTGTACCCAGCGCTGGGCGCAGTGATGTCGGTCCTGTTGGTCGTGGCGCTGGTGGCACTGCTCGTCCGTCTCCGTCGTCACCACCGCGTGAGCGAAACAGACGAGCGGTCAGAGGCGATTGTGATACTAAGCACGGAAGCGCTGGGCTTATGGTGATTATAAACCGCTTTCACGACGATTATCTGGCGCAAATTATATCATATTTGGTGTGATTTGGTCAACATAGGTCCATATAAGACGCTTTCACGACGGGCTACCTGGCGAACTTGCACCAAATTTGACCAAATATGCACCAAATCTCTTTTACAACAAATATCTTCATATTTTGAATTTATTTCAGTGTTTTCATCAAATATAATGTCTGATAATTTCAATACGCAGGCATATACGCAAGCAGCTGTGCAACCCAAGCTGATAACTTTTAAGAAAAACAATGAACCTAATTATCCATTTTATCCGTAACTGACTGCTCTTGGATCATCTACAGGTGTAGGTGATCGTTGTGGCAGTGTCACGTGAAAAGTCAAGGGTGTGCAAGTTGTTCTGCTGATGTAGGGCTTTTGAGAGGCTTGAATATCTCAGGAACCTCTGGGGTAATTGACTTGCGATATTTTTTTGTAGGGTAGGCTGGCGGACAACGAGATATTTTAATGAGCTGGGTAGCCAACAATGTATACTATGCCAATGTTAAATGTATATTGTATATGACATGTCATGAAAAGCGCTGAACGAAATATATAACAAAAAAGCATCTCGCAATCGTTCTGTTTTAGAACATAGGAATTAGGAATAAATGCATAATGACATGATAAGCTTTTCAATTCTCAGTTTAACTCTTGTCGTCTCCAGAAATAGCATTTATCTTGTTTAGCCCATGAATAACTAGCCAAAGCATACACTTTCATTGTAAATCATTGGCATGATCATGTTACTGTATAAGTCACACTTGCTCCCTTAGACCAATCAGCAGCGAAGAGCTATTTGCAAAGCTATCTGTGCTATCTGTGTGCAGACACCCTACCAACCGTGCGCCTTGATAGGCAATCTTGTGGCCTGAAGCATGACTACCTATGCATAACAGTCCATGGCAGTGCTGTGCTTGTGGTGGCCGCCCAGCCAGGTCCTCAACTCCTCAGGTAAGGGAGCATTGTTCAACGCTGCACATTTAGGTAAGAATAGGTAGGTACCTATCATAACCATAGGCATAGACCATAAGTGGACCATAGCATGACGCTAGTTTGAAAAATTGACGCTGCTCAAACTGGGGAACAGAGGAATTATTATTTTTTGCGATCGGTTGTGCCTTGATAGTTTAGAAGCTCACCCTTTTCTGTTCCGTTCTTTTAGTCATTAGGCTTATTTATTCTTTTAATTTCCTTTTGGACACACATGTTTAGTCTGGCCACCTGATCTACAGCTAGTTGTGCTCTAATGCTCAATTTTGGGGTCTCCTTTTATAGTTTACACATGATTTTAATCGTAAATATGCATGGACATTGGATGCATTTGTAGTCCAGTACATATTTTTTTCTGCCGTCTGTATAGTTATGGGGAAAAGGTCAAAGAACGTTATTAATCCTGATTGCAAGCATTGCCTGCAGTCAAAAACAAATTCTTTCAATTCTTTTACGAGGACTTCAGGTCTGATGTAGGCAGACCACCACGTCAACCATCACCCAAGTGCCAATCTAGTTGTAGAGCAATGCATAGCTGTTCGGTCTGCCGGTCTAGAGTGCCGCGAGGCTAAACAGAAACACAATGCTGAAAAGTATAACAGCCAGGCGCATGCATGCCACGCGCCATGGCGCGCGCCGCCGCCGCGCGCGGACCGCACCCAGCAACCGTGCAGAAATATATGCGTACTTTGTATCACTCGCACTTTTTTCCTTTTACCCCTACTTGTTTTCATGCTTTTTAACCCGGCAGTTGCTGGGGTATTTCGCCACCCACCGTTTGCTGGGGGGGGGGGGGGCGTTAAACGCCCCCAGCCGATAACTCGAGAACCAATAGGCGCAGCGAAACGCACGAGGCGGCAAACGAAAGAACGCGACGAGACGCTTCAGATGAGTACTTTAAAGTTGAATTTTGAGGTCACAGGTTGGGTCAAGGTCAGGTCAAACACCTGAAATCGGGCTTTCAGTAGCATGGACTTCAGGACTTCGCAATGGGCGCCTCTCGTCATAAACTCTGTCAAAACGGTGCACAATCCATCATATAAGGCCTACAAGAGTGTCAGCTCCATGTAGGGGTCAGTCAAGCATAGGTCAGGGTCAAGGTCAGGTCAACCGGGTAGGCACATATCTCCGAAAATTAAAACTGATATTCGCAGCCTGTGACACATGTTTTATGGGTAATTTGGGGCGTAGAACACGATGGTGACATTCATTTTATCATAAGTGTACGTGTTTGGCTCAAAAAGCTAAATTTAAGAAATGCATGTATCATGGTCGTGAAGTAGTCACGAGAAATTGCCGAGATTCAGTTCAAGATTTTGGAAAATGCGGAACGATAATCAATAATCGAAGATAGCCATTTAATTGTTCATGGTATTGGCAGTCTAATGGCGTTTACGGCATGCCTTTATGTCTATACTGTGATTTTATATGATTTTTTGAACATATGCCGTTTTTGGTCGAAAACTCAGAAATCATGACGTCACTAAAACCTTGATATCTCAAAAATTTTCCGACCGATTTTTTTTTTGAAACTTTGTCACAATAAACTTCAATCAATTCCCTACAGGTGCCCAAAATTTGGCGCGCCTGCGGCGCGCCGTTTTTATGCTATGGTCCGGCGAAAAAAGTGGGGGCGTTTAACGCCCCCCCAGCAACTCGCGGGTTAAGTGAGTGCCTATGCCGCTTATGGTGGGATATATAAACGTTAAACCAAATTAGGACGATTTATTTCGAGCTAATTAGAAGGCAAAGAATTTGTATGTATTTTCTGCAAAATAAATATAGAAATAAATAATTAAGTAAATAAATATATGATTAAATAAATAAATAAATAAGTAAATATATTATTAAATAAATAAATAAATGAATAAGCAAATCAATGAATAAACAAGTGATAAATACATAATAAAAATGACACTTTGTTAAGCATCTTATGACCCAAAAGCAGAACTCATTTTATTTTCAGGAAATCTGGCTCTGAAGCTAGCAGGCCAAAGCGGTGCAGGACTGATCGCCGGTGGTTCCACGGCTGATCACCATGGCACCAGGCCGGCATGGCCCGGAGCTGCCGTCACCTGCACTGCTACTTCTGACCGTGGCAGTAGTCAGTATGATGACGTCATCAGTGCTCAGCGCCGAGCTGCCAACTGACGGAGAATTGTCGGTGTGCAACACGCCCTGCTGCACGGTGGAGCCCAGCTGCTCCTCCGCCCTGCACGTCGTCTGCAGCTGCCACAACAAGGAGCGGGTATGTACAGCATGAACAAATGCACCATCAAGGAACCCATACCTTTAACGTTCAGTAAAATGTATATGCATATGAGTGTATGTGTAATATGGAGCAGCAACTCAAGATAACACAACTAAGGTCTTCTTACTTCTTTCTATAGTGCGGCGCTATAGAAAGGATTGCCGCTAAATGGTCCGTGCCACGTAGGTATTCTCTCCCCCAGGGGATCTGTGGTGAGCGAGTATTTGACGTGTCCTAAATCTAGCATGAGCCCAGGATGAAACTGGACGGTAGTAGGTATTCCCTCGAAAGACAACATATAGGTACACATGGAGAGGGATTAAGGTCGAAGAAGGTGACGTCCGATTTAAATTAAAATAGTTACATATAAGCAATTGAAACATAGCGAGGGCTGTGCATATGTGGGAATAGGTGTGCATGCTTTTTATGCGTAGGTTGTGATGTGCGTCGTTTGTATCAATCTCTATCTCTTTTGTTCACTTTTCCAGATCTCTCTGCGTAAAGGAGATTTGCCGGCATCAACCGAGACCATTAAACTTGAAAGAGTGGACCAGCTGACAGTGTATCAAGGCGCTTTGCTGGATTTGACATCGCTGACGAACTTAGAGCTGCACGGGATCGGTACACTGACCACACTCGCGAATGCGATCGCACCTCGAAAGAACTCCCTCCTTCACGTTGTAGACATCACCTACGTCAACAATATCGAGATCGGCAGACGGGCCTTTTCAGGTTTCTGGACGGAACAAGCTACCCTCAATATACGACATATTGAGAAGATGCAAATAAAGGAGAACGCCTTCTGGTTTAAGCAACCATTCCATGCCCCTCACCTTGGGATAAAGAATGTCGATGTTCTACATGCAGCGTCCAATGCATTCAATATGCCCCAGGGAACATTGGATATTGAAGGAATAAACATGCAGCGCTGCGAACAGGGTACCTTCGGCGAGCTGTCCAACATTGACATGGACAGAGTGAACATCACCGAACTCGGAGAGGGCTGCGTCAACGGCAGTGGCAGCCTCCACCGGCTGTCGGTGTCCAACAGCCGTCTGGGAGTGATTGGGCAGCGCGGCATCTGCGGGAACATCGACACCGTCGCCATCAGTAACACCAGCGTCTCTGTCCTCGAATCAAACGGCCTGCAGCTGCGGACCACCAAACTGGGAATACAGAGCTCCCACTTTAACTCCGTGATGACAAAAGGACTAAACGTCCTAGCTGATGAAGTCTTTTTAAGAGAAATGGCCGTAAACACTCTTCACTGGCGCGGTCTGAAGTCATTGAAAGTATCAGAAGAGGGCAAAGGCAGAACTTCTTTTCGAATAATGAACCTCACAGTGGAGCACGCTGCCAACGGCTCGCTGGCCCTTGACGTTGACCCCGGCGTTCTGCAGCTAGTGCGCCTGTCGGTCGGCGTTCCGGAGCCGCCCGTGTGTCCCGTGGATAGGTGGGTCCGACAGCTGACCGACACCAGAGAGACGGCGCCGCTAGGATTAACCGAGCAGCGCATGCAGGCCCTCCTGCAGCGCGACTGGCTCTGCAGGGAGTCCAGGAGCACGACGCCCACTGCCACCGGTGCCGAGGACGGCGGAGGTAGCAGTGTGGAACGGGAGGACCCGATCGCCTCGCCAGTCACCGAGAGAACTGATGACTTCAGCATGGACTACCGCCTGACCATTGTAGTCATTGTGGCGTTAGTGTTCGTCTTCATCATAGTCGCCCTCATTGCCATCCTCATTGCACGCTCTAAACAATCATCGGACGAAGCGAAAAGCAACAGAAGAGCGATCGAGTCCAGAGATGGCACCCCTGAACCCTTCATGGACCAGTCACTTTCCAGTGTTGTCACTGACTCGGTGGTGCGTCGCAAGCGAGGCAGGCGAGGCGTGGCAGGGAGACGAGGTGTCAGGGTGAACTGAGGGTGTACCGAGTCCATGGGATACGGCAGATCAGAGCAGTAAGCTACATCGCTAGGAGGCAATGACGTCACGAAGTCAGCTACCCGGTCATGATGAATACGATGTCTGTCATACGATGTGGCTGGGGGGATCCATGTGATCGCAAGGCACCTCGCAGTTGCGATCAAACGTAAGTTGAATCGGAACAGATATTGGAGGGATCCATCACATCGTAGGCTAAGTAGATACGCAAGTTGTATCGCAAATGGTGAAGATACGAACTAACTTTACGAATCTTCTCGGTCGATCGGAAGGCCGATCGTAGCGAAGCTTTACCTCTTTCTCAAGAGAAAAATATAAGAAATTTTCAAAATTTTCACAAAACCGAAATATATGTTAAACAAATATGGTTGATGAACACGTGTGCAAAATTTGAAGTCGATTTCTTCAAAAATGGCTGCGCTAGAGCGTTTTAAATTTACACGTTGAAAACGGTCACTTTCGCGTCATTTTTGTAACTATTTTTTTCAATTTTGAAATTTAAAAAATGTTTTGGGCAATTTTTCGCGTTAATTGCGAAAATCTGACCAAAACATGTATCGCACCATCAATGATCCGATACGCCATCAGAGGCCGCGCCGCGGACAGGCGGGCGCGGCGATACCTAGGCCGCGTGGGGGTTACACTGGTGTTCGGGAAGGGCTATGTCAACGCGAGGCAGGCCGCGGGGGAGCCGGTTGCGGCGCCGGTCCGTATTTGTCGGCGCCTAGCAGTGCAGCGGTGCGTTTATGGCGGAGGGAGGGGAAGCGGTGTAGTGTCGGCAAGGCCACACACAGGAGAGGGCACACGGGCCTCTCCCCCATTCGAGTTGGGGCCCCTAATCTTTAGACCGCCGAAGACCATGTAAAATGAACTGAAATAATGATTAAAAAGACCGGGAGGGCCCATCTCGTTCCCCAGCAGGCCCATACGAGTCCATAAATGCCCAGTAGCGCAGCCAGGGGTATTGTGGTGAAGTTTCAATGGCCCTCAAAAGACCTCAAAGGGCCCACAGATGGGTTCACCGGGTCCTCAGATGGTCTCGAAGGGCCCTCGGTTAGCGCCAAATGGCCCTCATCTGGTGTCAAAGGGCCCTCAGATGGCCAAATGAAGGGCCACAAGATGGCCTCAAAGGGCCCTCAGATGGGTTCAAAGGGCTCTCAGCCAACGTTAAACCTACCTCAGAAGACCTTAAAGGGCGTCAAAGGGCCCTAAACCTGCGTCAGAGGGCCCTGAGCTCGCGTCAAACGACCCTCCGAAGGCCTTAAAGAGTCCTTAGCTTGTGTCAGAGGGCCCCCAGCTGGTGTCAGTGAGCACTCCTCAGCTGGCGCCAAAAGTCCATCTGAAGGCCTCAAACGGTCGTCAGCTGGAGTACAACGGTCCTCAGATGCCGTCACGCGGCCCTCAAAAGCCTCAAGGAGCCCTTATAAGGTCTCAAAGGGCCCTCATTTGGCCTCAAAAGGCCCTCCGCTAGCGTTAACCGGACTTCAGAAGGCCTTAAAGGGCCCTTATCTGGTGTCAGAGGGCCCCAAGCTAGTGTCAGAGGGCCCCCCGGCCCTCAGTTGGCGCAAAATGGCCATCAGAAGGCCTCAAACGGTCCGTAACTGGAGTCCAACCGCAACGGTCCTCAGGTGGCGTCAAGCGGCCCTCAAAAAGCCTCAAAGGCCGCTTAGAAGGCAGCCAAGGGCCCTCATATGACCCCAAAGGGTCCTCTGCTGGCGTCAAACGGACCTCAGAAGGTCTCAAAGGGCGTCAAAGGGCCCTGAGCTCGTGTCAAATATAAAAGCGCCCTTAGCTGGTGTCAGGAGGCCCCCAGTTGGTGTCAGCGTGCCCTCAGCTGGTGTCAGAGAGCCCTCAGTTGGCATCTACTGGCCATCAGAAGGCCCCAAACGGTCCTCAGATGGCGTCCAACGGTCCTCAGCTGACGTTAAGAGGCCCTCAAAAAGGCCTCAAAGACCCCTCGGCTGCTGAAGAGGCCCTTAGCCTCAAAGGAAACTCAAGAGACGTTAAACGGCCCTAAAAAGGCTTGAAAGGGCCCTCTGCTGGTGGCAAAGGGCTCGCATATGACATCAATAACAGCTTTGTCAAAAACGGACCTGAGAGACCTTGCCGGTCCCTGGTTATAAAGGACTCCTGTCTCTTGCAGTAACCTGAGTGGCCCACGTTTACTGAGGGGCCCCTGGTTATTGAAGGAGTCCCTGGTTACTGGAAGGACCCCTGGTTATCAGAAGGTTCCCTGGTCACCTGGTGGGTCCCTGATCAATTGAGACCTCCCGATCATCTGAGCGCCCCCTGATTGCCTTGGTCTTGGCGTTGGCGTACAGTTTAAAGTCGTCGGCTCACTGCGGCCTCCTCTTTCTCAACAAGTCCCTCTATTTCTTCTGCAGCGAGGGCGATTTCGTCAAAATACTCCTCCATCGCGAAGCCTCGTGCGCAGACGCAGTCTTCGGGGCGCTCGCTGCGCCAACGCTTGACGCCAACTGACGGGCTCCAAATGGAACAGATGGACTCCGAAACGAACGTGGGAATGCCGACACATGATCCCTCCAAATTTACAGAGGAGGAGATGTCCCTGACAGCCCATTTGCAATAGGGGTCACTTTTACACTATAGACGTATGGGGAATTCGACCTTATCGACATGGTACTACGAGGTCAGCTGATCTGCTTGGCATTTAAATCGTAGTAAAACTGGCATTTAAACGCTGCGAAACAACTTACGTACAACGTAGCTCCGATTTGCCGCTCTTTCTTTTTCATCCCTCCGATTTTCTTCCGATCAAGAGAAGTTTCGTACCGAGAGAAGTTTCGCAGCCACGTCCGATATAACTTACGATAGCACGGATCCCCCCAGCCGATGTCTCGTACGACAGACACAGTTCGGCTGCAATCGGCCGTTGTGGGGATACCGGCATGTCATTACTATCCGCCACCGATGGACACAGAAACCATCTATATATACCGTAACAGAAAAGAACACTGAAACCGGTGAAGCACAATGAAGTAGGAAAAGGTTAGGGAAAGGGTGAACAGCAGCTCCTTTTACCATTGATTAGTAATATTAGTAATAATGTGCAGAAGTTATCGTTCGATACGATAATCAGTAATGAATGTTATGGCCAGGGCTGCGGAGTCGGAGTCGGAGTCGGAGTCAGTCGGAATCGACAGTTGTGACGGGCGTTGGAGTCGTATTCTGAGTCGATTTTGGAAACCGGAGCCGGAGTCGAAGTCGCAGTCACCGAAATTCTATCGAATCCGCAGCCCTGCCAGGTCTGCGGAGTCGGAGTCGAAGTTGGAGTCAGCCGGAGTCGACAGTTCTGCGCGGTTTCGGAGTCGGAGTCGGAGTCGGAGTCGCCGAAAATCCATCGACTCCGCAGCCCTATTTATAGCCACTGGGTGCAAATGCGTGATTAATGATGACCAACTGTGATTGCTGACTATAGGATAATAAACAGTGTCAGCTATGATAAACATATAATTGTATAGTTGTGACTGAAAATGAAACATATTGCTTTAATTGTGCTGATATTGTGTCTATTGCTTTCGTCTGTTCATGCTGGCAACGATAATAACAAAGCTTCTTTTACCAAAACGACACAAATGTTTTGGATGTTCTGGTTTCATGGATGTGCAATGAGTATGTAGAGCGGACAATTATATATATATATATATATATATATATATATATATATATATATATATATATATATATACCTATCTAGTACGCCACACGGTCGGCGCAGCGCAGCATGTGTGGGCCATAGAACTGCGAACGTGCACACTGCATAGGTAGTTTTAAAAGAGGCATTGCTTTGAAATAAATCGTTAAGGTTTTGTCCTACGTTTTTTGTAACTTGTTGTTCCTTGTCGTCAGTAGTTATTGGGATCAATCATCAATCTGGTATAAAATAATAAATTTCTTGGAGGAACGGTGTATTCATTAAATAGCCGAACAGCAATCAGCATTTCATACTCGTACGTTACATGCAAGTACAAGTAGGCATACCGACACACATCGCAAGTCAACGACGCAATCCTATTCAGAGCAGCTGGACAACCCTCTCGATCCAGGGCACGTAGTAGCTGACCCTAGTGTACACCCCCGGCTTCAGCAGGTCGCCGCAGCCGACACCGAAAGAGACTATACCAGAGAGCTGCCAGCGTCCGTCGGCGCCCGGGCAGGCCAGCGGGCCGCCCGAGTCGCCCTGGCACGTGTCGGCGCCGCCGGCCAGGTGACCGGCGCACACCATCCGCTCTGCCACGAACCGCGACCCGTACAGCTCCGGCGCGGCGCACACGCTGTCCGATACGATCGGAGGCCTCTTGCACCAAACTACCTAGCTAGGTAAAATCGAAAAACCGGTTTCAGAATAAGCTAATCTAACGGTGGTAAATTTGTTTGCAATAGCCTAATACATAATCCTACATGTGCTTGCAAAATTTTGCATGCAAATTGTTACATTTGAGACTTGGACTGGGTATACGATGCAAAATAATCCAAGCATTGGTGCAAGAGGATTTTGGTGCAAGAGGCCTCGGAACGCTGGCTCCGTGCAGGATGTCGGCTGCCGAGCTGGCCGCGTCCGGCAGACGCGCGTCCGTCTTACCCCAGCCGGAGATGTGGCACTCTTGGCCGACCGGCGACGGCCCGCGCGGCAGACACAGCGGCTGCACGTGCGAGCTGAACACCACCGGCCGGCCGTGGCGCAGGCGCAGCTTCAGCACCGCGATGTCGTCGGCGTCGCCGCGCGCCGGGTCCGCTCCGTAGCCCGGGTGACTGAGCGCGTTCTCCACGGCGAACGTCTGCTCGAATTGCTCGCTGGCGTCGCGCCGGTCGTGCTGGCCGAGTTTGACCTGCAGTCGAGTGAGCGCTGGTCGCAGACAGTGCGCCGCCGTCAGCACGAGCCGCTCGCTGATCAGAACGCCGCCGCAGTGGTGCTCAAAGTGGCCGGCGTTGCTGTAGACCTGGATCTGCGCCTGCCACGGGTAGGTGCCGTAGGTCACCACCTTGCCGCCCACCACGCGCCTGGAGCTGCTGCCGGCTGACAGAACGCGTGTGCGCGTGTCGAAGACAGGGTTGGCGTCGAGTGGTCTGCGCCCGCAGTCAGCGGGCAGCAGGGACGAGGGGCTGGCTCCCGGACGGACTGGGGTCGCGGCGCTCGCAGTCGGCTCTGTGGTGAAGCTGGTGACTGGCGAGCCCAGAGGAGTGTTCAGTCCAGAGCTGACACTGCTGTCTGGTTGGCTCTGAGCGGGTTCTTCATTTCCGATACCCAAGGAACTTATGAAACTTTCTCGCGACCTCACCCCTAATCTGACGATCACAGGAAGAAGCCTGTAATAGTCAGCGCTGGTGTCACGCACAATGCGAGGAGCGTCGGCGCACGAAGCGCAGCCCACAGTACACAGCTGCTGCGCTTGGTTATACGAAAACGAGTCACACTTGGGAAATTCGTACTCGTGCCTGTCGCAGTAAACTGCACATCCGTGCTTGCTGATCCCGGACAGTTGCATGGAAGAGACAATGGAGTATCCCTGAATGCGAGCAAAAGTCGCGAAGACGTTGTCGCACAGTGGCTCGTCCAAGCCGTAGGTACACTCTTCTTTGCCGTTGCACACGTAGCTGTAAGGCACGCATTCCGATGGCCCCAACGTCCGACACTCAAACATGTCATTCTCGCAGGCGGCGGCTCTGGTCGCTCGGTGCCTTGCTCTGAGTTCTCCATCGCTCTGTGACAGCGCCACGACCTGGGCGAACTCTCTTCGCCCGCTTGCAGCCGTCGGCCTTTTCTCCGGATTATCAGATGACGCCACTCCCGTGTTTGCGCTTCCAGAGGCCGTCGCTCCCGTGTTTGCGCTCCTAGGTGACGTCACCTGTCCTGCACCGTCTGCAGACAGCGTTTCCAGAGCCATCTCCGAGCTCAGCTCAGACGGCTGCTGCCTGACGTAGAGCACCCATCCCGGAGCGTCCTCGAGACCGCTTACACTGCGGAACACGCGGCAGCGCCTCCCAGCCGCGCTGTAGCCGAACGCCACACACCCTGCCGGCGCTTCAGTACAGAATCGGGCACAGCCGCGCAGGTTCACGTCATCCCAAACGAGCTCCTCGCTTCCACTGACGCTCACAGAGATGGCGCCAGCGCGTCGGAACGGACAGAGACTGGAGTCGCAGTGCAGCTCATCCCGGCCGGAGATGCAGTCTGCCATGCCGTCGCAGGCGTCCCGAGGATGGTAGCAGTCGTCCAGGGGATCGGCCGGGTCGCACAGGGTGGCCGGCGAGCAGCCTGTGCCGCCAGCGGGGAGGTGCTGTGACTCACTGCGAGTCCCGTTCGTCCCAGACTGGCTGGAGGATTGGTGGTGCTGCCTCAGCCAATGGAGCAGATCGGCGCGGGATAACTCCGGAGGGTGGCAATCTGGAATGTGACAGAGAATATGTTGGTTTTAGACACTTTGGCGTAAGTATGCGGAGCTCAAAGAAAACGGCCAAAGATACGTTGGTCGTTGAACGTTGAACACTGAACGCTTCATGTACTTTAGTACCTACCTAAAGGCATCAAATGGACAGACATTCAACCGTTATGAATAATCTCAGATTCAGATTTTTTTCTGGAACAGAATTTTTTTCAGATTCAGATTTTTTTCTGGTCAATGCCTAGTAACTACATATTGACACAGCTTATCCTAATACCTAGGGCAAAGTGTCATCGATACATCTCGCTAAATGATGTGAATAAATTCTTTATTTCGAAGTAATAAGATGCAAAATAATAGTTAAAGGGACCTTTAACATGGGGTTTGAGTTGAGATCGCCAAGTTTGCGGCGAGGTTCAGAAACCACTATCTATCTAGGTTGCAACCCCCGCGGCCTCTTGGTGTTGAAGAAATTCGTTCCCTTCGTTTGAAAATGGGCCTTGTGCAAGGCCCTATCTTCAACATGGAGCGACCGTTAGTGTGACGTCACCTCGTCTAGTCATTCTGATTTGAATGGGTTTGTTCGTTGAAAAATCGCTTAAAACTTGGTCTGAACTTTGTTGTGGTGCCTACAGAGTAAAAAGAATCAGGTTTATGACAGTAATGTGGCCTGGGGAAGGAGGTAATTTTGGGCTGTGACGTCACATATTTGAAAGTTTGTGTTTGGAATATGGGAAGCCTAAGATGTTTAATGAAAAATAAATGCCAGAACCGTGTTCCTGGTCATCCAATCTCTAAAGTCGGGCACAATTTAACTGGTTTTAACAACATTTTAGAAGGTGGGATAGTCCCTTTAATATGCAGATTTCAAATGCAACACAAAAGTGTGCTAGAAATTTTACAGTCAAATTTGATTACTCAAACTTTTATCTTGTTAGATCGAGCCCAAGCATTTTTTGTTCAAACGTTGCACTGAATTATAACACTACAACAAGGCATTCCATTTGATAGCCCCAGCTCCTGCGCCCTATCTCACCTGAAGAGTTCGTCACACCAATGCTGATTGCGCCACAACTGACTACCATGCTCGAGGTAAAAACGACCATTGTCCACCACTGCGAGGTACCCACCGCCATATCTACAACGTTGAAGTAAGTTCCCCAATCGCTGCACCGACGCCTAACCGCTCTGACGCGCGTTCTACCGACACCGCGGCGCGTCCAGAGCACACTGCGGCCCCTGTTCAGCGGACCGGAGCGGGTGCATTAGGAATATGAATGAGCACTTGCAACCGGCTGAAGCGGTGCAAGTACTGGTCGGTAGCGCAGGTGTGTGCAGTTGCACACCAGGAGCAAGCCGCGATCAGGGACTTCCCTGGCGAGCCTGAGCGATGCAGATGATGGGGAATGGGGTGATGGGGTGAATCCCCGTTCCCTTCTTCACTGGGCCAGCTCAGAATAAGCGGCTTTAGATAATGATTCACACTTCACTGCAGGCGATTGTGCAACCCTGTATCTTCCGCATGCCTCCGCTTTGGGCTGATTGATGTTTGGAGCCATAGGCGCGGGAACCGGGGGGGGGGGGCAGTGGGGCAGCTTGCCCCCCCCCCCCCCGATTTCTGGGGCTGTGCAGGGGCGGTAGGTACCCCCACAACTTTGAGACACAATATCGCACTTTTTTGTAAATGTTTTATTTTTTATTGAAAAAGCCAAGGGATGAAAAGTACATCAGTGGCCTACAACCAGTGAGAAAAACTAGAATTGGGGTACCCTTGGTTGATCTTTTTATAGTGTGCCCCCCCCCCCTCCCAGTCTGAAAGTAGTTCCCGCGCCTGCACTGTTCGGAGCTGCGCAGCACATATTTCACAACGTGAACGGTTCAAGCTTTTTCCGTCTTAAGTTATACGCATTTCGAAATTCGACCTACGAAGAACGAACAATCTGCGTCCACGGGGCTGGAGAGTGCTGGGGTATTGCAATTGAGGGCCAGGGTCCAGGGACTCAGGTCGACTTCCATGGAGTCACCAACTTTCGGCTCAAAAGAAATTATGAAAATATGTTATAAAAAAATACTTTATATACTACTTATACTACTTATACTATATATACTACTTATACTTATACTACTTATACTACTTATACCATAGAGATCTTATATACATAGAGATGACATGCACTTGAAATCGTGGCGATTCAGTGGGTCTTTTTAAGCAACTTATTTTCAGCCAGTAGCGTGCCAATATGGCTGAGGCATTGTTAGTCTGAAGAAATTAATACGTAGCGAGTGAGGCAAGCGTAGTCTTTCGTAGATTAACGGAAATTTCTGAGTATGAGCGACCGGGCGGCCGTGCGGACGCTTTTGCGAGGCTTATATCTCAGCAACCACTAGACCGATTTACATTCGATGATTTTTCTAGGGTAGCTTCATTCCTTCTACCAAGTATTGGACTATTCCCGATGCATGTGGGTAACCCCTTATGCACGTGCCACGTGCAAAGCGAAGAGGTGTCAGTTTTGCAATTGTTGCAATATCTTGTTAACTACTTGGCCGATTGCGCTGAAAGTTGGTATGTAGGTAGGCACCCACTAGGCAATGCATATCCATGTGCCACAGTTGGGGTGCTGCTGCACGTGCGCACGTGCAGGGGTCGATTCCAGATCTCGAGAACGGCTGAACCGATTGTGCTGAAATTTGGTACATGGTTAGGGACCAGTTAGTAGGGTGCCGTGCAAAAGTCAGTTGTGACCCATTTTGCACGTGTGCACGTGCAGGGTGCCGCTTCCAGATCTCGAGAACGGCTAGGCCGATTGCGCTCAAATTTGGCATATCACTAGGGACCGGTTAGTAGGGTGCAGTGCACAAGTTAGTTGGCGGTGTCCCTCGAAAATTCGCTTGTCCAAGGCCCACCCTCTCGCTCGCTCCGTTGGTTGCCCCAAAAGGCGTTTTACTGGTTAAAAATATTGCTGTTTTTTCCTGGCTGATTTCATTCCTGAGGTAAGCAATGCAATTTGTAGCATGATTTCATTTTGTGTTTTTATTGAATTCCTTAAAAGCTCGCCTAAAAACATTCTCTCTCATTCAGGCTCTCACCAACCCGGCAGGTGGTGGACCTCCCGGCCACCTTCCGCGCGGTGGGGGGTGGGGGGCATTTTTTGCCCCCCTCCCGTATCTCCGAAACTACTGGACGGATCCGTAACATTCAAACGATGTTCGATAGCCCTGTCAAATTTGTCGACGGAACTCCAATTTCATTGACCTCGGGGTCACCGATGACGTCACAGGTCAGGTCAAAGAAGTTTCGCCCCTGATGAAGCTAGAGCGTCGCGGAAAAAACAAGCGTGTGCGCCGTTACAAGACGCAGGGACTGGTACCCGATTTTAAGGTCTCATGAGGCCAGGTCAAGTGACCAAGGGCCAGGGTTCAGTTTTTCATAACTTCGCAAAAAAAGACGGTCGGAGGGCCGCGATTTTGGCATCATCGTGTTTGCCTCGCTCAGGCGCGTCGAATGGTATACTTTTTGTTCGGGTGAGGTCAACTTGAGGTGTTGACCTCGGGTCAAGGGCAGGTCAGCTCCCCCAGATCACGAAGCTGGTTGAAAGAGGTCACGTTACATATTACTCGAATCGGCAGGTCTTCCTGAGTTTATTGGTGGCTTTCCCTACTCGCTAACTCAAATTGATGGGGAGTTACTGATGAAAAACTCTAATGACCCAAGTACATATATAACTGCAATGAAAACCGTAAGCCTCATGCTAACAATTATATTCAAAATAGGGCCATGAAAATAAGACATGTTGGCCAAACTGACAAACTGACTTTTGTCAAACCGTCTTACGGTTTTCATTGCAGTTATATATGTAATCATGAGCCTCAAAACCGCGCTTTCTTTAATCAATGACCCAAGTGACTATAAATGACGCCACGCAATGTCAACAATACAAAAGTGAAGCATCGGACCTTGCAAGGCGTGCAAGAAATCACGATTCCATGTGCTGCTGTTTGAGATAGTTCTCGGCGCTAACACAGCAGTTTTCATTTTTCCCCATTGACTTATACCTAATGGTGAGGTCACGTGGCCGACCTGACCTCATGTGATTTTTAGGGAAAATCCGAGATATATGTACAAGTTGTGAGACCTCTGGATGATACTACATCCTGTAAGTTTCATCTCCCTGTGAAAGTCCCTCTGGCACTGACGGTGACGGCGTTGCGAAGTTGCGACATCTGAGGACTGTGCAGAGGTTCACTTATGACGCCACAGTTCAGTGACCTGACCTGACCTGAAAATGCGGTTGGTGTCACAAGATGCGGCTTGGATCAAAGGTCAGGTATGCCAAGCTTCAGCTCTCTATCGCCTGCGTGTTCGGAGCTATCGTGAAAAACCCTATAGGGAGGTGGCACCTGCCATCCCCCACCCCCGGCGGACGGCGAGGGTTAATAATACATGCAGTACCTGATACGAGCATAAGGTTAAAACATGCCTAATTTCATTTCAATAATAACGCTCGAAAGCGTCACAGCTAGACAAAAAAGAAAAACTGTACTTAAAAATAAGCGGATGTGAACACAATCTCCTTGACCGAATCCTTACAAAATGCAAGTCACGGGCCATGGCACCCCAGAAAACCTTGCTTAAAAAGACCCACTGAATCGCCACGAAATCAAGTGCTTTAACATAGGCGTGTCATCTCTATGTATATAAGATCTCTATGACTTATACTACTTATACTACTTTTAAAGTTAAATAGGAGTGCCTATATAGGGGAAGGTGGGGTAAAACGGCCAGCTTAGGTTTGAGGCCGAATATCTTCCTACGCTGCTCTCGTTACTCATATTGTTTAAAGCTTTCTGAACGCTCAATCCTTCCTCTTTTAAACATGAGCAAAGACTGAATCACAAATTTAAAAAAAAATATAGGTAGTGGCTGCTCTTTAACC